GTTTGGTGAATGTGAGCCAGCGCTGTGTTTAGACTAATGCTTCAAGGCGTCACCTGCTTGCATTGCCGAGATACCGGGTGCTCATATTATAAGGCAAGGTTATAAAACCATCTTTTAAGATCATTTTAGTGAAAGTTTCATCCTTCAAGGCGTACCATTCACTGCTCAAATACTAAACAACCTGCTTCCATGGCCGAGATACAGGGCGCCCATATTATAAGGTAAGGTTATAAAACCACCATTTAAGATCATTTTAGTGAAAGTTTCATGTTCCTATCTCATATAATTTAAGAACAATGATGAATAAATCATTTTCGAGCAAAATTTAAATGGCCGGCTGAATATATTACCGCCGGAGAGACGGCCGCGGAATTTAAATCACCGCGCAAAAGGGTTAAAGAACTGCCAGCTAAAATATGAAATGGGAAATGTTTTATAAAAAGGGCTAATTAGGGGCCGGATGAGTAACTGTAAGTTGAAAAGCAATTAGAATCCATTTATCTATAATCCGTCTAAATTGCAACACTTTTTATTTTACACTTCAATACACTCTCTAACACTACGTGTTTCGGCCTCAAACGGCCATCTTCAGGTGTTTTTTTTTTACAGATATTCAATTAAGATTGTGTCAAAATTGTGTTGAAACTGCCACACTATTTCACTGTTCCAATTCATTTTAAAAAAACCACACGCTGTAGTCTTCTTTTTAATTAAAATAATATAAAATTCTTCCATAATTTGTTACTTATTGTTTTGCTTCACTCAGGGTGTCATCATTTCTGTAAAAAATAAGATGTTTTCCTTGGCAGCTTGTTCCTCATGTTAGTTATCTGTAATTTATAAAATAAAAAGTGTTGAAATTTAGATGGATTATAGACAAATGGACGCTAATGTGAACAACTGCAACAGGATGCTGAAATACGGAAAGCAATTAGAACGCAACAGCCTGGAAAATACAAAAAAAAATCTAAGTTGACTCCCCCCTCCCAATCCAAAAATGCTTCCATGCCTACTGCCTCTCTCAAACCTCAACTGTTCATAAATCTCCCAACCCATTTATCCATTTCTGTCCCCACCTATCTGCCCTCCCATATCTTCCCCCATCCTCACCCTTCCCTCCATGTCTACTCCCATCTCGTTACTCATCCCCAGCAGCAGCTACACGGGCTTAGTTGGAAGTGGAAGAGATGCGAATGACACACCGCACTAGCATCTTCTAGTCATCGGTTCCATTTTATATGATTCATACAGTGCTAGGCCACAGGCTGAATGGCTGAAGAATTGGAGTTCAATCCTGAGTAGAGGCAAGAAATTTGTATCTACTCCACAGCATCCAGACCAGCTCTGGGGCCCACCCATCCTCCTATCCAACAGGTTCCAGGGTCTCTTAACTTAGAGGTGAAGCCACTGGCGTGTCATGCTCACCACTCACCTCTACCTACTGTCAAGACAAAGAGATCATGGATTTCCTCCACTCCCCCACACATCATCTTGGCATTATATTTATTTAATTAAACACATGGAAAACTTAACTTTATGGGTCAATGAATGAAAAGTGTCCAATCTTTTCTTTCTTCCCAGTCTTTTCAATTCCTTGCCAGCTCTTTCTTCTGTTCCTGACGTCTTCCAATATTCTGGGTTGTCCCACAGGTCTATTCATTAAATTTTTAATGTAAACCATACACATGACAAATGTGTCACCTTAATGTAAATACAGATATCTGGCAGCCAAGGTGTGTTACTTTGGTGTCGGGGGTGGCATCAGACAATTTCAAACTTTGCTAACTGATGATTCCTCATTCCAAAGCAAAGTTTGTTGGACATGTTCTCAAGGTTGTATACTATGCATCATAAATCAGCATATTCACAGTCTGCAATAAAATTAGCTGTTCTTATTGTTCAGAAAGTCAGTATATTGGGTAGCTATCAAAATGGTAAACACGAATGTATCTACAGATTTGACGTAAGCTCATGTAAGTTTTATAGAACATATCTAATTATGTGTATACAGAGATTTATTTGGTTCAACTCTTTCATTATACAGAAGAATATTTTCTGTTTGTAATAATAAATATAGGCATTTTTACATTCATATTACTTGCCCTTTGAAAGTGGTGGATGAAGCTACAGTTGAATTTGTGAATTTGATAGAATGGCCACCAAGTTCCCCAGGTTATATCCATTAGATTACCATGTCTGGAATGAAAAATGGTTAGTGCACAAGAACTTGGGAACAGTTTCAGTCCCTGAAGTCAATGTAACAAAGAACTCAAAATGTGTGGCACCTTATATCATAAGATAATATTTGATCAGCCATCAAGCTTTGGGAAAGACAGATTTCAATGGTATTTTGTGAAAACCAGGGTCCCACTCAACATAAGTGCTGATAAAATACATGACTGAATTATAAATAAAATGATCACAGTGGAAAATAATTTTCAGTGTACCAAACAACAAGATTACTGGATTTCAAACAAAACATTCTAATTTTTTTAGTAAAATTATTTATTCAAGAGATTTACAGTACATTTTATGTATAGTCACTGACCAAAACCCACAAATGTTCAACTACATGCTGGGACCAGGGCAAGCGGTAACAGAGTTACATCTTTCACTGCCTACAGACATAAGAATTCATTTTTACTGGAAGGAACTAAAATAATTAGATTAAATTTGTAATCTTTGGAGGGGAGGAGCTGGTACTGTAAATCATTTCAGATTACAGAGGCTCCACTGTAACTTTTTTTCTGCAGTCAGATATGTTCTATGCAACACATATGAATTTCATTCAAATCTGTTAGAAAAATAAATGCTATCCCTGTGAAAGGCCATAGAGGCCCATAGGGTTGTGAGATGCTGTGGCCACATTTTCTAGACAGCTGGCTCACAGATGGTGGTGAGGTAGTCAGCCTCACACGCTGGCGACCCTTTACCACCAGGAAGATTCCTGGTACTCATTTCTGTTAAGAGACTGAATTGACCCCAGGGCCACAGTGCAGCTGGAAGGATTAGGTCATCTGAAAAATCCAATGACCTCATTGGGAAACAAGCCTACAACCTTCCAGTTTGCAGCATAGTGCCTCAACCAACTACACTACTGTGTGCCCCCTATTCAAATCTGTAGTCACTCATTTTATCATTTGTTTTACAAATGTCATTTTTGCACGATGCAGTTTTGAAAATATTCTGTGCCATTCTTAAGGTCATTTCTATTTCAGGTGTTCAGAGGGAGATCCTAAAAATAACCTTTTAAAATGCAGCATTTTGTGGTTAAGATACACGCTAAGAATGGAGAGATTATGGTGCACCAAACACAAGGCTGTGTAGTGTGATGCAGTATTCAGGAGTGTGCCCAGAAGATATGAAAAACATGAATTACCCATAAGTATTCATTAATATTGCTGAGAAGAAACACATCAAGATCAGTAAGGACTGTGATCAGAAGACTGATACTTGAATATGACTGTCATTATGTGAAAAAATAACTTTCAATTTCATATTTATTCTCTGATACTAGAATCAAAACATTAAACCAACTATATCCAGGGAGCGAAGCCTTCTTGGGAAGCTGAGAAGAATCCAGTTCATAACCTTTCACCCCACTGTCTTTAATATCCATTTTAATATTATCCTGCCATGTACTTGTGTAACAAACATTACGACTGATTAGTCAGTGTGCCTGCTTTATAAAGATACTGTCATGTATTTGGGGTTCCAGGAGTGACAGTAATGGGTTCTAGACTAGATGATTGGATTTACTGGCACTTCTAGTACAATAACTATAACAATCCGCAGTCAATCTTCAGCTGAACCCTTCTTCCTTGACTGCTGAGGTCTTGCTCCATTCTGCTTCTTGTTTTACGACTGACTGCAAATGACCTCAGTTGTCCCCTATAACCCTTCGGCATGTATAATGCACAGAAAACACACTGAGAACACAGTGTAGATGGAAAATGTGTTTGTGTTGCCCAGCGATGGATTGTTTACCAAGAATCTGTCTCTGTGGGCATGTGTTTACTGATATATTGCCTAGCAATGGATGCCCTATTGTCATGCACTTAAGTGGGAAGGTGTTTGTCACGCCACTGCCTAGCAATTTGTATACACGTTACGATTATCTAGTGCAGAGTTCAAGAAGGTGTGGAAATCTTTCAGATATATTAGGGACGAATTCCACTCTCAGTACTACTACTAGACTTTTGTAAAAATACAGGAAGGCAAAAAGATACAGTTGTCCCTGTCCTTAATTAATTAAGCACTATACCGTGAAGATATGTTGGGAAGTGGTGGTATAGCTCCATTATTCATGACCTCAGCACTAGATGGAGGTGATTCGTCAGCTTCATTCCCTGGGGAAACAGCCTCCAATACACATTGGATAGAAGGCTGGATGGGACATTATGCAGTACAGAAAAGTCTCTTGCCCCTACCAGGATTTGAACCCCAGCCACCCAGCACATAGCCTACTGCTATAATGACTCAGCCATTCCACTTCCTCTTGTAAGGATATGTTAAGAGACAGAAATTAACAGCGAAAAATATTAGGAGACACTGATTCCTGGTACTAACAAAATCAGTGCCATACGAACCAATGAATGAAGCTCGTTGCAGTTATTGTTGCTGGCAACGAGACTGACAGAATTTACACTGTTTATGCTGATTCTGTTCTTGGGTCTTTTCACCAAATGGATGTGGGCAGTACAGCCAATGTTTTGGAGGTATGTGCTGCCTCCATTTTCATGGTTGATGTAAGGAGAATGAGTCAGTCTTTGTGTATATATAGGTTTTGGTCCAATGGACTCATGAGGGGAAGGGTCGGCCCCTTGCTCAGTCCACGCTAATGGGGACAACAGACAGAATGTTACAAAAGGAGCCCTTTTTAGGGCCACCATGAACCCCAAGAACCACTGGCAACTGGTGTTCTCAGGCTCACTAAAATGAGTTGCTTAACTTCCTATGCTGTGGGTTCAGTGGTGTGGCCAAGGGAATGCTGTCCCTATTGGCCCACACAGGGCACCAGCTGCCCCCCCCCCCTCAATGGGTCTTCTGGACCCCAACCTATACATGAACACTGACTCATTCTACTCACTTCAATTCTGAAGACAGAGACAGCATGTACCTCCAAAATGTTGGCAACACTGCCCCCACCTGCATAGTGCAAACAGCCTACAGCAGGATCAACATCAATGAGGAACCACCACAAACACTTCAAAATCAGCATCATTATTGATTTTCTTACAATGGCTATTGTCTTACTTTTTTATCTCACAACTGAAGTTAGGGACTAGCTCTATCAATCTGAGTAGGCCTACTACCTGAGGACAGGGGCAGAGCCAGTCTCCAAAACATCAAAAGAAGAAAAGAATGATAATGTCCAAAAAGTTAATAATTTTAGTAACATACTAAAGTCAGGATCCACACAGGTGATGTGACGTATCTGAGTTAAAGGATAGCACGGTATATGAGTACAATTAGAAACTGAGGGTAAACTGGTAAGATAATGTTCAAAAGGGCGATGCCAGGTCTTACTCCTACCTTCAGTGTATATACTATCCCACATCAACATGACAGTGCTCCACACGACAACTCCTTTAGAAGTAGAATCACTGCAGCTGAGCCAATGAGATAGGACAGGACGCTTTCACAGTCAGAATGAAAGGGCCCTCTTGATTAGGCAAGAAGGTAGATGGAACAATACTGTATGTTCCGGCAGGTACATCCTCCAAGGCCAGCACTACAAAGCCTGACCTGAAACAAAATACTGCACTGCAGCACATGCTGTAAACATGTGTTGAAACACCAAATACAAGCGGCAGAATGAGGATTGGGTTCTTATGGCAGTGAATATATCTAGGATATATCACCATGTAGGTTCTTAGAGAGGAATCAGTGCTTCAGAGGAATATGCTACTTTCATCTTCAGGGTAGAAGCAAATACTGCACAAAGGACCACTGTACAAGTACAAGACTTGAGGTCATGATGATGACTATTAAGATTACAGTCTTCTGAGATGTGATGCCATTTGGTGGTGCCCCACCTAACTGCCTGCTATCCTTACTCCTTGATCCTGAAGATGGAGGCTGTAATAAGTTAACAGGCACAGTAAGAATGCAAATGCTAGTACATCATTTGACGGGATCAGGAAAATCTATTCACTAAACATCTTGCAACCATCCCACCGACTTCGGCACCCCTCAGGCCTCCGCGACTCTTCTGCATTCTGCCTCCCCAGTGGTTCTTCTGTTCTCAAGTAAGGCAGATGCAAAGGGTGCCTTGACTAGTCAACAGCCATGGATACCTATCTCTGGGAATTTGGGTTGCTTCAGTGATTGGGACGGGAAGAAATCTTCATGAGTTGGGTAATAAACTGTTAATTAAACACAGAGCAAATTTCACATTGGTCTGATTTATATTCAAAACACTGTTATTCAAATCTCAGTCATTACACACTGTAGAATTATCACCTCATACTTTAAAATATGCCATCAATCCCAAAGACATATATATAGTGGGTTCATCTGGGCATCTTTGCACCTGTACCCATCTAGAAAGATGTAAACAATTTTTATATTGGCCCTGAGACTCCCAGTTCAAGGCTATGGGTCAAAATTCAGGTACTCCATCCCCAATCAAGACGTTCTGATATCCAAGTACCCCTCTTTCTCACAGTCCCAGAGGGTTCAACCTTGGATGTGCTTAATGGCCAGGCTTAGACAATAAGCCTGTTTAGCAACTTTAATTTGTTGGGACGTAAATCTGATCCTCAAACATTCATGCTTACTGCATTATAAAATTTCACAGTTATCATAAAAGAAGTCCTCCTTTTGTTTGTAGCAAATCCTTTTTGCCTCAGTTCATTTCTTAACCACTAAAAGTATAAGTGTCTGCAATTTGGTTCCTGATCTGAAAGGTCCACCCTACATGACAACAAATCCACATTTATGGTGAGTTAAACTATATACCTCTCACCCTTTGCTTCATATTGTGTCTGTTTACAGTATCAGACATCCCTATTATAGCTGAACATGAAAAACACAAGAAACATGCCCGTATCCAAGAGAAACCCTTAAAGCTGTAATAATAATAGTGGATATAATAAATTAATTACAATTTGACAAAACATCATTAATACCGGAATGACTACAAATGGTGCCGAAGCCTACCTACTTTCATCTTCATGAGAAACAAAGTTTCTATCATACATGGTAATAAATGCTTTCATGCAGGGATGGTATGATTACAAGCTGCTTACCTAAATGGCCCTGAATGTTTCCTCTTGAAAGCACCAGGTGCATTCTGGTCATTGACCACAACACAAATAATCTCTAGACCAATCTGGTACAATTTGGGGCCCCTGAGATCCAACAAAACCTGGTTATTATTATGTGATGACTCCAATTTCATTTGGTAACAAGGGTTGTTGACGTGTGTGGGGTGGTTGGCACAGCCACCTGCTGTCACACCTTTCCACTGGCCATCTGTAACCTAATAAACAGAAGTGTGATGTAGTTTCTGGGTATTAAAAATAAATAATAATTTCTGCTGTCACAAATGTTTGCAGCTGTTCACAGGAAAATACAATGAAGTAACATGAGTCCTGGCAGGATGTCCAGCGTATATATCTTGTGTTGAAGGGGCACTGGGACAAATTTAAAAACCTAATACACAAATTAATGTACCTTCACAGAAGTTTCTAGTTCCATAATGACAGAAAGAATTCTAATATGTGGCTTACCTTCTGTGTATATTCATACGGGCTACTTATCTTCGCCAATGTGAAGGGGCATGTTGCATAGGCACGCAAGGTATAGAAAATTGTGTTTGTTTTCTCATACTGTGATATAACGAGTGTGTAGCGATGCGAACTGCTCTCGTTCAGGATAATCTTGCATAAGTAGTGTGGGCTGTTGATACGAACACCATCAATAAAGGGTGCTGGATCATCTGCAAGTACACTAAGTTGGATTTAGTGGCACATTTTCCTGTCCTCTTTTAAAGTATCATTCTCTTACTGTACATTGGTTCCTTTAATCTGAGACCAGAGTGATAAGATAAATGGAGGAATGATTGTCTTTCTAATTCAGTTTTGTCGAGTTCATGTTTCACAAGGATGACCTGCATCTCTTCTGACTTCTGGACTAGAGTAAAGAAATTTATTACTTCCTCTTTCTTATGTCCAGATAGTCTCCTCACCACTAACAAACATCTTCAATCTAAATTCAATGAACATGTTCCATTCAGGCTACTAATATTCCAAGCTCCAAATCTTCTGTCCTTTCATGCTCCCTGTAGCCATCTTTCAAAAAGCTAGTTTTTTCACAAGAGGAGTGGTTAGCCCTATGCTAAGGACCACCCCTTGTCTGATGTTAACATATTTTAGCTACCAGACATATTACACACTTACAAGGATAATAAACACGTCGACCATCATTCTTATACACCAGAACTGTGATATATTCGCGATTCTCCCTGAAGTCATCTATCTGTGTGATATGTCGCGTGAGTAGGATCCACACAGCACCAGACGCACCAGGCTTCACCTCCATTCGAAACTGTGGGTTTTCACCGATGTTATATGCGTCTTTAATGGGACCCGTTCCTGCACTCCAAGACCTTAAAAAATACAAGAATCATGAACAATATTGTCATCTGGAACGTAATATTGTGTAGTCTAGTGCATATTATGAACATTTCAGAGTAACCTGCTGCTTCCATCTTCAGGATACATGAGTAGGGGGTGTAGAAAAAAATGGTACAGATATAGGACAAGGGAGGACCAGGACTGGGACCCTGAGCAAACCAATGAGAATAAGAACACTGAAAGAAATATTTGGCCCTTGATTGGGATAAAGCAGGTGAGTGAACCAATGTGAGATAGGTAAGTAAGGAGAACACAACAAGGGAACAGTGGTCCTTCGATGGGCACAGAAAGTTGGAGACAACAAAAACAATGATATAGGTAGATTCAGAGGATATAAAGGTGGGGAAACAATGGGGGGGGGAGAAACAGAGCCTGCAGGTTTGTATGTTTGCATTTACAATTATTGTGTGCACATATTTTAAGTGCATGGATTATTTTAGTGTTATCAGTAGGCAGACTATACAGTGTAACACAGTAGATGACAGATGTATACTGAATTAGGAGGAATAAGGAAGAAAGTGAGCTTCACCCACCTGACATATTATCCTAGCATTTGCCTGGAGGGACTAATGAAAACCATGAAAGATCTCAGTCCAGATTCAAACCAAACACCTCCTACATATGAGTCCACTGCAATACCACCATTACTACTATGCTAACCTAGTCAGTATGGCTTGCAAATTTATGGTATAAAGGAAACCAAATTTTTTGTTATGCTACATAATTTTCATTTCCCTAATATTACAGTTTTCTCAATTTTACATTTCTACCTGGTGATCCCTAAAATAAAATTGAAATTTCACTGTACGCATAACAATCACAAGATGAATATGAATTTACAACTTACTGGTGAATGCAATATGTATATGAGAAGAGTCCTGGGTTCCAGTTCAGATAGAAGACATCATAGAACCTCAGGATAGAATCATAATCAATCCAGAATACTCCATTGTCAAACATGGCAGCACTAGTAGGATCAAAATTTAAAGTCTGGCGTAACTCTGGGGTCCAATGCTTCGTATCCAGCTCAGAATAGTTACCTCTCCATCGCACATGTGACCACGGGTTCTTCAACTGCAGAAGCCGCACACCCTATGCGCAGAGAGCATGACATTCATAATACAGACTCAGACCCAAATAAATATTCTTGTGTACCTAAAACAGTTTGAATAATACCCCTTCACCATTACAGCTGCAAGTACCACCAAAAGCAGTGACAGTGCTGTAACGGCAATCTCTTATTTTGGGATATTTCAAAGGAGGAAAGAAAAGAACAAGTTGCAAAATGCATGCATTATATAATTCTAGCGAGTCTGCTCTGTTAGTGACTCCACATTTCTCAAGTACCAAAATGGCAGCATAAAAATTAATTTTAATTTGGGGGGAAGGCCATTTTATGACACTTTCGGTATCGCAGACTGCACAGCATAAACAGTACCTTCATTCATATGTTTTGCATGTCTCTACTTGGACAAATGTACACAGTATAAAACAGAAGAACAATATATGGATGGAACTGCAATGGATCTGGAAGGAAGCAGTCATAGCCTAATTTATAACTGAGGTGTGGAAGTGAAACTCTAAGATGGAACAACAGAGTTTATTCTGCAAGAGGGGCAAGATTCCATTCTCTACCCCCCCACATTCACAACACCCCACCACCCCCAACAGAGAGACACAAGTCAGATCATTAAACTGATCACTTGGCCGCGCCATAGCTCAAGCGGCTAGTCGCTGGCTTCCCACCGCGGCAGCCTGGGTTTGATCCCGCGTCTGGTCAAGTGATTTGTGGTGGACAAAGTGGTGCTGGGGCAGGTTTTCTCAGAGTACTTCGGTTTCCCCTGCCAATCTTCATTCCACCAACTGCTCCACAGTCACCCTCACCTATCATCTGGGGCTGGTGCAATAGGCCAGAAGTGGCCGCAGTACAAGGGACGTAGTCCCACCCCACTAGCAATAAAAAAAAAGTGATCACTTGCTCACATACGGTCCTACTGTGAATCACATGACATCTTCTTTCGAGTGACATACTTCTGAGTCTCGGAATATCTGAGGTCCTCACAGCTGAATGTGATGTCATGTACTCCAGTATACATTTACTGCTCTGCTTTCTGGCTGCTTGTAGGCTGTTTCTTGCTTGGTTTACTCTTCAACCCTGAAGATGGAGCTAACATGTTCCTCCAAAACACTGGATGACTTTCAGTTATATCCCAAGAACTCTTTGAGTTCACCAATGTTTCAGAGTGCTTCTAGCCTGTTACTTGCTTGGTTTACCCTTTAGAATCTACTATTGTCTAAAAAATTTGAATGAAATGAAAAATGTACCTTGACCGTGCGCACATCTAGGACAGCATACGCATGTGTTGGGACCAGCCCTGACCTATCAGCTTCAGCCTCACTCATCTCACCCGTTGCCACAGTGACCAGTACATCCCCTTTATGAAGACGATTCAGCAGCTTGTCAAACAAAGCATCTGCATTAAAGTCAGGTTCACTGGCCCTGACTGACATGCGTTCTGGTATCCAGCCTGTGAGTGCATGAAGATCAATGTTCTGCAAAATCAGTTCAGATCACAATTTCAGCATTCCTTCAGAAGTATACTGACATGGGTTCATCTGTCAATATGGCAACATTATCACTAATCAATAAAGCACTGCATGAAAACTAACTCCATCGAGCAAAGGCCTTCTTGTGAAGGTAACAATCGCTCAGCTACTAAATTCCTAGCTTCTTATGCAAACCAAAGGCTTGCACTAAGTTCCGAAGAACCGAACAAACACTGGACAGCATTCTGTGCCAAATAAATCCAGTCCATATACACCCATTTCTTTAAGACCCACTTTAATATTATGCTCCCATCTATGCTTAGGTTTACACAGTCTCTTCCTTTCATATTTTCACACCAAGATTTTGCTTTATATATACATATGGACAGAGAGACATATAAAGTGATCCAAAATCATGTGAATGTGCCATAAAAAGAAAAAAAAAAGTAATGTATATTTCAATAGAACTCTTGAAACAACTCCAAGTAATAAATACAAATAAATGCGGCTCACACTATTGGATCCTGGGAAGTCATAACCTCCCATAACTTTCATGTAGGCCTTCTCCAGCAGCGAAATCCACAGTTCACCGTTGTTTGTTGAGTACGAGCACAACAGTCCCCCATGTTTGCCAACAGGCAAGTAATCATCAATTATAACTTTGCGGGGTATTCCATTAATATGCAGCTTTACCATGTACTTGCCTGCAAAGAGATCACAAACCACTCGTAATGCAAAGATCTGCTGCTGTCATGGGCCTCAGGAATGAACAGTATCACTACAGAAACTCACCAGTAATTTGTAACTTCAGCCAGTTCAGTCTAATCCATATCTTGACAATGTATATCCCAAAAACCATTTTAACCCTTTTCTGCATCCTTCCAACACTGAATCTCTAGAAATATAATTGTATCAATGAGCGTGCATCAGCGTGTCTAGTGACTGGGTTACAGTCTGCACAACTAGAGAATCACAGTTCATTCCCAAAGAAGGTCGCTGTGTTTCCCTTTGCAACCATGAGCAGACTAACCCAGGGACTATCCAGCCTCCTACCCAGTGGATGCAAGGGACTCTTTCTTTGAGGATATGGAAGCCAGGTCACAAAGCTAACATGCCTCCAACCAGTGCCATGGTTAAGTTGTCAAACCTCCATTTCCCAATACATCTTCATGGCATGTACTTAATTAAACACAGTGACAACTTTAAATTTACCTTCAAACTGTTTTACTTCCACATTCATCAATCTGTCACCGATATAGGTGATCTGGCCCACGCTGCAGCTACTGCGACATCTCATTCTAATTACAGTTTGTTGCTAGAGTGGCAATTTGTCACCTCAGTTAAATATTCTAAACACATGAACATTGCATGTCTCAAATTCTATAGGTCAACTGGCATAACAATCAGTTAGAATTCAACACAAAGTTGCAGCATCAGTTTCATTGGCTTCCATACTATTAACTTCCCCTGCTTTCTCCTGAATTCTTTTCCAGTCCTACGTTATCCAATGGTACGTCAAGACTGACATTCAATGCCATTTCCCAAGGATAACACACACAGTTATGATAACACGTCTGCTTTATACACTATACTAAACTTGACATATCCACATCATATTATCATCAACACAATACAATGAAATAAAAGACTGTTTGCTCATTCATGACCTTCTGTATAATTTACATCCATGCAAAGTGTTAATGCTCAACAATGTATTGTTATGGTATTTTTTTTATTGCTAATCGGGCGGGACTAAGTCCCTTGTACTGCAGCCACTTCTGGCCTATTGTACCAGCCCCAGATGATAGGTGAGGGTGATTGTGCAGCAATTGGTGGAATGAAGATTGGCAGGGGAAACCGAAGTATTTGGAGAAAACCTGCCCCAGCGCCACTTTGTCCACCACAAATCCCACTTGACCAGACCCGGGATCGAACCCGGGCCGCCACGGTGGGAAGCCAGCAACTAACTGCTTGAGCTATGGTGCGGCCATTGTTATGGTAACTCTAATTTGCATAATTTTATAGCTATCCTCTCATACACACAAAACTTCTTTATACACATACAGAGAGAAATACAGAACCATTACGTACATCAATAATATTTCAGAGTATTAAGATTTTAGAAACTGTACATATAAATGTAAGATTTAAGGTTTTCATGGCGGTGACAATGAAGATTGCCGTCTTCTGGGATGTGGTGCAGTGTAGATATTGTATAAACCGACGTTTAGGAGGAACGTATCGCCTCCATCTTCAGGGTGTAAGAATCTGGAAGCAAGGAACCAGCATGACCAGCCATGGCTGCTGGTGCCTTGCTTGTGGATTCTTATACCCTGAAGATGGAGGCGATACGTTCCTCCGAAATGACGGTTTACACAATATCTACATGGCACAACATCCCAGAAGAAGAAATTCTGTATATATATGAGTAGATGTCTTATTTATTACAAATATATGTACAGTTTGTTAAATCACTGGATTACATTAAGCAAACTGAGGCTTTTATGGCAGTGACTATGAAAATTACTCAAAGGATTGTCACACTTTACAGCAAGACATCAGAGTAGACAGTAAGCTTATGATGTGTTGTAATGACAGGTCTCTGCCTTGTCACAATCACTGACGAGACTGCATTCTAGGCTGACAGCTTGTTTCATTCTTAGACAAAAGTTATTTGGTCTGTGAAGCTCTCCTCTTGGGGCTTTTCTTACCAAATGGATTATAGATGGGCTCCTTCTTACTGTTCCGAGGATAGATGATTGATGTGACCAGCCGCCGTCCAAAACGACGTTCATAAAGAGCACTCACAGCAAGCGAGGCGACAAATGAACAATCAGACACAACCTATAATGTGACATTTACAGTTTAAACTTTCCTGCAATAATACAGTATTACTCCAAAATACACTACTTCACACATAGCTACAGAGTGATTTTTTCCAAATGAGAACCCAGTGTTAGGAACGTTAGTAATGTCAGAGGACTAGGGTGCAACATGTCATATAACAGAGGCTACCCCTGTTGTTAAGAGACAGAATTATTTGGAAAGGACTATCGCCCCTACACTTGCCAAATGTCACCACCACATAGGGCTACATTAAAAACAATGCCTACCACAATAACCCACACAATCTGGATGAAATGAAAATCAACATATTCAATACTAATTCTGACATTTCACCCCTGACGCTGCAGGCAGTGTCTACAAATGTGTTTTGTTGTGCTTGGTTATGTAAAACACACATCAGTGCACACTTTCTGTAACAAAACGCATTCTAAGCACCTTGCTCTGAATAATGTTCTCACATATAAATCACCATACTGCGCACATGAGTTTCACCAAAATTGCCCTAGCCCTCTGCCACATGATGCTACTATCATATGGATTTTCATTTTAAAAAAGGCACCCTGTATAATATATCTGTTGGCATGCAGTTTCTCACCACTCAACACATTCAACTTAATACCACAGACTGTTCTCCCAAAGAGAACAAATTACAATGGTCTGACCATATAAGAAGTACAGAAAGAACAAGGCCACCAAGAACGGAATTAGAATTAAAACTGAAAGGATAGTGACCTATTGAACAACTCAGAAACAAATGGTTCAGTCATGTACTGGGAGACATCAAAAAGAGGGAAAAGAGCTGTTAAGCATTTAAAAGGGAAGATTATGCCAAGAAAGAAGTGACTCGGGATTTTTCTTCCATCAACCCACACAAAATGAAACTGATGCAAGAATGTGGTGATGGTATTGGCTCAGTTATAGATCAGTATGGCTGAAAACTGGAAGTCTCCCATTAAAAAGTTTCACCATCTGCAAAATGGCCTATGGGATACATGAAAAAGTTATGTCTTATACAAACAAGGCTCTATTATGGACCAATATAGCTGAAAATCAGAACTGCCCTACAATTTTTCATGAAAGTCTCCCATATCAAATTTAAACAATATCTATGAAATAGTTTATTTGATGCACAGGAAAGTCCATTTATGGCCTTACGTAAATAGGATCAGTTATGGATGAAAACTGGAACCACTCAGTAACTTTTAATGAAACTCGCCCATATCAAATTTTAAGAAATGTTATCCAACGGCATAGCTCCTGATCACCTCCATAAAAGGCATTCTTTTGTCATTGTAAAGAATGCCTAAAATGCCAAGGGCTCTTTGCAGTACGATGACATCATCAGGTAGAAGATCATTAACTTAGAATATAAGCTAAATTGAGTAACAAATCATGATACTGCATTCATATCAGCTACAAAATAAGTAAACACATCAGGTAATTTGTCTTGGTTCTGTACCTTACCGTCTGTTTAATGCTGAAACAGTCGACATGTTGGCCAATCACCATCTTAGGTTCAGGGAAGATTTCATCAGGACGAGCCCAACGGACGAAGTCTCTCCTCTGCTTTGGTGACAGAGCAAGGTGTCCATCTCGGTCAGTGAAGGGAAGAGAATACTGGAAACGTTCCCCTAGATCCATATTCATGAAGGGCACATACTCCTTCCGGTTTATGTGTGATGTTTGGAGCAGAACTCTCTTCTCCTCCTCTGTGTAGGTGTCCTGGCCTCCTGTGACTTTCAGGTGTGCACTACTGCCCCTGTGCAACTGAGCTTTCCCTGCTCCTGCATACATCAGTCATATCACTAACCACAGAACTGTATTACTTACCCTTCTAAAGGGCCGTGCCATAGCTCAAGCGGTCAGTCGCTGGCTTCCCACCATGGCGGCCCGGGTCTGGTCAAGTGGGATTTGTGGTGGATAAAGTGGCGCTGGGGCAGGTTTTCTCCAAGCACTTTGGTTTCCCCTGCCAATCTTCATTCCACCAATTGCTCCGCAATCACCCTCACCTATCATCTGGGGCTGGTACAATATGCCAGAAGTGGCCGCAGTACAAGGGACTCAGTCCAACCCCACTAGCAATAAAAAAAATACCCTTCTAAAACTTGAATAAGCAAGCGTCACACATTGTGTGTAGAGAAACCGAAAAATTCTGTGTGTTCAAGATCTCACAGGATGGTTCTCCCTGCGCTTACTTAAGTACCATGCCATAGGGGAGTGGTAGTAATGCTCCATGCATTATGTCCTGGTCATTTCACTCCCACAGAAATAGTTTCCAGTACCCACTGGATAAATGACTCGGTGGGTCTGGATGCCAAGATAAAGAAAAGAATCTCTTGCCCTTGCCAGGATTTGAACCACAACCCCTCAGTAATTCTGTCCACAGCCTATTCACTATAAGAACTAAGCTATCACAGATCAACCATCATTTGTAGGTTGCAAATGTAATAATAAACTTTATGAAATCCATAACATATATCCAAAAATAATAGTCATACACTGGCTCACACTGAAGACTCTCCCATAAAAAGTGGATCATTATAAGTGAACACAGAAGAAAGAACATTCAGTATATTGTGTCTGTTAATTTCTCATAATATAATGTTTCTTGTTTCTCTTGTCATTGTACCTGCACCACTGCAGTTTCCTGCTGTGACCTTGGAGTGGGTGGAGCTACTACCAGATAAAGAAGCCTGGTTACTATAACTGCAATTGAAAAGTAGTTCATACTTTGTCATACTTTCATGCAGTCTGTCTTTACCTCTTTTACCTTATCTTGAAAACCACAAAATTTTCAGAAAAAAGTGTGCTGGGCCCAAAATGCGTTTTCTACAAAAGTTTTGTTCAAAATACTTTTCGCTTTTATGCTCAAGATATACATGCAGAAACATCTTCTCATCAAGTATATGCACTGCTGTCGGGTTTTAATCAGGGTTGGAATGTCTTGACACATTTTAGTACAATTACCCAGTATTAAAATCCAGTTGATGGTTTTCAAGTTATTACAGTCAGATGGACATGCCAAAGAAAATAGGTATATTTTGCAAACTTTTGCTGCAAATATACCATAAATGTTAAGTTCTTTATACCACTGTTGACATGAACATTCATCCTGGTTAAGTATTTTTACCAATCCTCCTCTTTTTGATTCTAAATTATGAAAAAGTCTGTACTTATATACAGAAAAGAATGTTAAGTTTAACACTCATAAGTTCCATGCTTAATTAAAAACACGTACAACTTTACTTTTGTTACACTATGTCGTACCCTAGAAGACAGTTACCTCTGTTGGTTGCAGCCGTGGCCTGCACACTCACATTGGGACTGGTGTACTCTGGCACTGAACACAATTTTGGCTGTACAGATACATGACTTGTGGGTTTCTCCTCAACCTGTGGCAAGATACCTTTCAGTTCCTCAGCCCGCTCCAGTGCCTGACGAGCCAAAGAAGCAAGCTTATTCTGAAGCTCAGGGTCTTGGGCTGATGACCTCTGGAACACATGAATGTAACTTGAGAGTACTATATGGTAAAAAGTAAAGCTGTCCCTGTAACAAATCATGAAGGCCCTTAAGGGTGTGAGAGGTCAAGGCTCCCACATTTTCTAGACAGTCGGTTCCCAGACGGCAGTAAGGTTGTCAGCCTTACGCACTGGCCACTCTTTACCCCCCAGGAAGATTCCTGGTATTCATTTCTGTTAGAGGCTGAGTTGACCCCAGGACCATAGTGTGGCTGGAAGGATTAAGTCCACTGAAAAATCCAGTGACTTCATCAGATTCAATCCCGCAACCTTTCAGCTTGTAGCATAGTACCTTGACCAACTATGCTACTGCATGCCTTGAATACTATAGGGTTAGGTAAGGTTTACTGTTCAGGGTGCAATAACATTTCATGGAATGTATTATAAATAACACCTCAGCACAAACACTGAGACAAAGTTTTTGTTGTTCTTAATTAACTGAGCACCATACCACAAAGGTGTGTTGTGGGGTGGAGGTATAGCTCCAACATTCTTAACCATGACACTAGATGAAGGTGAGTGGTCAGCTCACTCCTGCCACATTATCCCCCACCCCCCAGGAGAAACTCCCTGGTACCCTGGCTATGGGTTGGACAACTGAGGGGCTAGAGCTTGAGTCCCGGTAGGGACCAGGTCTGAGGCCCACCCAAACACCTATCCAATGGGTACTGGGGGTTTCCCCAGGGGTAAAGTGGCTGGAGAGTGAAACTGACCACTTACCTCCAACTAGTGTGCTGAGGTCAAGAAAATATGGATCTATATATCCACTCCCCCATATATCTTCACAAGCACACGGATAACTTTACTTTTTTTTTTACCTACTGTTCACAGTCAAGGCTAAACTGTAATTTGGTAGATAAGTACATAAATTTCACAGGAATAACGCGCCTGCATCTTCAGGGTAGAAGCAAATGTTGCATGGAATAGTGTCCGCAAAAAGCATCACTATATGAGATTTTAGATTCTGACATTTATCTCTGCTTACCTGCTACTCACCTGCACTAATTTCGCCGACAAGCGGCAGTCGCTCGGTCAGTATAGTTCACTTGCGAACTAAAATCACGGAGTTTTTTACTTGCAACTCATACACCTCCTTCTACAATGACTATGAAGGCAGATGGTTCTTCTGAGTGTGTCAAACCAAACTATTCAGTGTCACAGCCCAGGTGACCATATCATAATAGTGACCATTATAATATTCACAGCCTTGAGGAACTTAAAATCTCTTACAGTAAAATCAGTGCATACAGATATCTGCAACTGCATCAGGGGGCAGACATGAAGCACTTTAGGGGGATTCAAAGGGAGGAAGCCCCTCTTTCTGGATACTTACCGCGCGGATTCCCAGATCAACAGCCTGTGTGTACAGCTCCACAGCTTCATCTCTGTTGCCTGCCTCGTCTGCGTCCAGTGCCTGACAGAGCAAGAAGCGACACTGCTGCAGCTGTTTCTGACTCTCCGACAGCACCACAGACTGTACTGCAGCTTGCTGGTTCAGCCCTGTACCAGTTAAGTTACTGTCATATACCAAGAGTAGAAACATGCAGCTAATACAAAACTTTACGTCTAGTTTATATAAATGAAATTTATATTTTGAAAACCTTTATTTTTCAGGAACAGGGGGATTTTAGGCCTCCCAGTTTTATAGGGCTGGTGCCTTGTTTTAGCATTAAACAAGAAGTTCTGGGAAGTAACTCCTTACTCTCCTTTGGTACGACAGGGACTGCATAGAAAATGACATGTCCAACTGTTGGCAGCAGTGTTTCCTTTCCGGTCTTCCCTGAAGTTACATAAACAGGACAACTTACAGCTTTCATCAGTCAGGGACACACACATACCCTTTCATTTTTCTTTTTCAAAATAAACTAAAAAATGTTGATTATGCACTATGCCATGAAGACATATTGTGGAACGGAGGTATAGCTCCACCATTCTTGACCTTGGCATAGGATAGGCTATGTGGTGAATGCCCTAGGATCAATTCTCAGCGGTGCAAGATATCTCTCTTCTCCATATTGCACAGAATGGCTCTGAGATCTAACGAACCTCCTATCCAATGGGTACCTGGGGCTCTTTCCCCAGGGGTAAAGCAGCAAGGGTATGAAGCCTCCATCTACTCCAAAGGTCATGAAAAATAGAAATATACCTCCACTGCACCATACATCTTCATGGCATAGTGTTTAATTAATTATGCAGTGACATTATCTTTTTCGGAATAACTAGGATCAAAAATGCAACACATGGCTTGCTGGACCACATGCATGCACCATCACACACAAAAATATCTACCTGACGACCTTATAAGGTTGACTCATGCTGTAGAAGTAACATCTATAATACATGACAACACAGCACATCAGCCTACAACACAACAATCAGTTTGCCTTCAAGACAGCCTCTGCAAATTAAATCTGATACAAAGCTGATGAGGGTCAAAATAACTTTCAACAGGGCTGGTATAACTGGAGGCAAGAGGGGAGTTCCTGCAGCTGCGTGTATGGCCTACCTTGGACTCCCACCGCTATGTCTGACAAAGGGGAATGAGGGCCAGGCTCAACATTGGGAGTCCAAATCTATAAAATGTATGGATATTCATGTCTTGGGCCATGATGAAACAACCCAGCTTACTGGTGGGTACTGACAAACTGATCCCAGGGCTTTAGAAAACAAACCATTCACGGTTAAGACTTCCTCACAGAAGTTAATGGGAACATGGGTTTGAGCCCGAGAGAAATTCATTCAGTCATTCATGTTCATTCATCGTATAGATCAGATTACATTGATGTAGGACATGTCACATGATATAAATTATAAAATTATCAAAATTACAATAAATTCTTAACCAATAAACTAACAAAATATGTAATGATTGTTTACATCTAACATGTATCATTATTCAGTATTTAAGAATTTATCATTCATATAGTCTTCAATTGAGTAGTAACACCCATTAATCAGTAAATTCTTCAGTTCCCTTATAAACTGGTTTTTATTTTCAAGTTGTTTTATATTATTACGTAATTTATTATAAAAGATACAACCAGCAACTGAAGGTTTACTGTTATAAAGTTCCAAGTTATGCTCCCATTTATGGTAGTCATTGTTGTTTCTTGCATTGTGAGTGTGTACTTGTTTATTTACCCTGCAGTTACACTTATTAGTTATATATAAGATGGTTTGTTGTATGTACAACAAATATACTGTTAAAATCATCTCTGCACGATTCTAAAGGTTTTAGCCTTGCAGTGTACCTTACTGCTCTTTTTTGAAGAATAAAAATTCTTTTAGTAAGTGCCTTAGCACTGTGTCCCCATACTACAATTCCATATGTTAGAAATGGATAGATCAAACCATAATATAACATTCTTCTACCCTTTAGGTCAAGTATTTTAGCAAGTCTATTTATTATAAATAAGTTGCGGCTAATTCGACTGCAGGTTCTATCAATATAAGCATCCCAGCTCAAGGTGCTGTCAATTACTACCCCCAAAAAGTTTATACTTTTAACATTCTCTATTTCCATATTCTTGGCTAAAATGTTATATTTATGGTCCTGCCTACATTGCTTTGTCTGAAAAAAGATGCAGTGCGTTTTGGCTGGGGTTATGAATAAATCATTCATCTCAAAGTATTTCTCCACAACTTCAATGTTAGGTGAGGTTACATATTGGAGTTCATTTATATCTTGTCCCATACTCAATATTGAAGTGTCGTCTGCCTACATTATAGATCTACCTTGTGTTAGGTGAGGAAAGTCATTTATATATAAAATAATAAGTAATGGACCAAGGACTGATCCCTGAGGGACTACACTTTTAATTGGAAGGCTACTCGATAAATATTCCTTCATTTCGTTGATTTCCATATGTACTACTTTTACCTGTTGTGTTCTATTTGCTAGATAGGATTTCATTAACATATGTGGAATAACGCAAACAGCATATTTATATAATTTTTCCATAAAAATGTTATGTTGAATACAATAAAATGCTTTGGTAAGTCTAATGATATGCAGTTTTTTTTATTTTATCATTCAAGTTATCTATTATATTTTCAATAACTGTAGCAACAGCGCATTAGTAGAATGTTTTTTTTAAACCAAACTGAAATTTATTTAATATATTATGTTTATCTAGGAAGGCTGTTAATTGATTAACTATTACTTTTTCCAAAACCTTAGAGAAAGTAGGAACAAGTGTGATTGGACGATAATTACTTGCATCTTCCTTAGTCCCCCCTTATAAATTGGGGAAAAGACCGATATTTTTAATATAGATGGAAAAATTCCATCTCTAATTGAGGCATTAACCAATTCTAAAAGCAGTTTAGAAATATAAGGTGTACATTTTTTAGCAAGTAAGGTGAGATATCTTTATTCGCCATACTGTGGATTATTTTAATCAAATCGGCCTCTGTTATTTCAAGCAAAACAAACGAGTCTTTTAAGCTAACTATGTTGTTAATAGTTTGTGGATGGATTAAATTTTTATCAAGTATAAGACTATTAACAGTTTCTGCAAAGGTTTTATTAAATATATTACAAGTTCTACTTGGGCTTGAAACTATTTCTTTTCCATCTAATAAGTATATATTTCTAGTAAGTATATTATTTAGAGAATTTCCTTCATGATTTAAAAATTTCCACAATGCTTCTGGAATGTTTATTGATCTATTTATAATATTCTGAATATAATTTGCTTTTGCAGTTTTTATGATTGTATTGTATTCTTTTTTATATGCTTTATAAATGTTTTTATAATGCTTTTATATTCCTGAGATTTGCATTGTATATAAAGATCATACAAGTTTCTTAATTTGTTCTGGCTATGACAACAGCCTTATTTACCCATGCAATGTTTCATCTTACCTTTGGGCAGGCTATATTAAAATAGTAGTTAAAAATGCTATAAATGGAGTTCCATTTGTTCTCTATATCATTTTCACTAAACACCTCAGTCCGAGTTTCAGTTTGTATAAAAGAACAAAAGCAGGTTATATTGTAGTCTGATAAATCCCTAACCTCTTTATAACAACTTATTTGTAGTGGTGCGGTCATATTAATAGTTATACATTGTGCATAATAATCCGAAAGTAGGCTATTTATAACATTAGTATAACAGCGATTAGCAGGTAATGTTTTGATCTATAATCGTTGTCGTACTCTCAGTTACTCGAGTAGGAATATTTATTGTCATAGTCATGTTATAAGCATTCATGATATCTAATAATTGCTTATGACCACATCCATTTTCCTGGGTATTTATATTTAAGTCTCCAACAAGAATGACATATCGATCTGTCTGAACAAGCTGCTCCAATACATCTATTAGTATGTTAGAAAATTCATATATTCCACCACTTGGTGATCTATATAATGCAATAATTATAAGTTTTATCTTGCCACGTTATTTCTATACCAGTAACCCCCAGCGTTTTTTCTATACTTTTTCCTGTAACCCAATTCAAGGGTTCACTTTGCACCATGTTACTGGTACAGTAAATAGCTATCCCCTCCACCTTTATATTTTTTCCTACAAAAATATGAGACTAGAGTATAACCTTCTAAATGGGGGAATCACCTGATACGCTAATGATCCAAGACAAATGAAGGCACTAGAGCTGGGGTATGCAGACGTGACAAGAGGAGGAAGTTCAGATTTTGCCTTGAACAATACACCACTGTGTTACAGGCAGAAGTGTATACCATAATGGTTTGTGTAGCAGAGAATATGGACAGGGGCTATGAAAAGAGGACAATTTACATTCAATCCAACAGCCAAGCAATAAGCAAAGCACTTGAAAACTACCAGATGAACACTAAAGCGGTCTACCACTGCAACCATTTCCTAATGAAATTGACTCAACAGATCACAGTTCAACTGATATGCATGCCAGATCACAGGAAAATGATACTGCTAATTGGTTAGTGAGAGATGGCTTTGGATATCTACTAACAGGTGATATCTTGGTCAGAGTTGCCAAGCAAGCCATACAAGAATTGAAGAACAATGACCACCATGAATACTGTAGTCTACATCTGGACAAAAACATGTGAAAGGTTTCCTTCAGGAACCCTCAACCAACAGAATTTGGGAAGGCATCTGAGCCAACTTACTAGACCATTCACAGGACACTAACTCAAGAGGATACCTATTCAAAATGAGATTAAAAAACATCTGCAAAAGGTGCCATGACAAAGATCCATCAGTGTCATGTCCTATGTCACTATGAGGCTCTAGCTGAATTAAAGAGTTTGTCACATGCAGCTCTACTTCAAGAAACGAAGTAACTATCAATAGGCCCCAGAACTGAACCACTGCACTTCATTTGAAATGCAGAGTATTAGAGGGATAATTTTAAAAAGGCAATCCACAGCACAACTGTGGGCAGTAACAGTCAGCACCCACCTCTTGATATCTAATCTAATCAAAGAACTCACCACATAACTTTCATCCGTTAAATCTTCTCATTAATTGAAATACTTCAAATAAAGAAAGTCACTACTTTGACAAAGCATACAATTCTGAACACACTAAAAACTCACTAAGCTGATCAAGTGCCTGAGCACGCTCCTTATACTCAGCTGCCTTTTTTGTCCACGACTCTTTGTTTCCATCATCGGCAGTGCCTGAGATAGCTAACTCAAGAAATCTTGCTGCTTCGCGGTAGTAAAATGCAGCAACTTCATGTTGCCTGTCACGATCAAATTGTATCGCACGTGTTGAAGATGTCAAGGCATCTTCCACTAGCCCTTGTACATTCCAGCTCATCTCTCATCTATATTCTGTGCAAAAAAAAAAAAGTACGTAAATTAGGCATCTGTTGCAAATACGGCACGCAGGCATAACCTTAATCTAGACTTATCATGCATACAATTAATGCTATCATGACAGTCACATTTCTTCACATACAGTTCACTCTACCCATAGCTTTCAATGACTGACTTTACTCTTCATTGGTTTGTACGTTTATAACCACATTTACAAATACCTGCATGAAGAAGGCAGATGCTTTCAGGCAGCACGTAACAATACATTGTGCTTGGGGTCTAATTCTGTCACTTCTAACGCACAGTTTACACATTAAACAGTAACTCAAGCTTCTAAACTTATTAATGGTTCCTATTACATTACAGGGTATATTCCTCTAACGTGAAACTTCGAAACAGCGTTGTACCCAAAACATACTCACCCACATAAAACAAGCAAATTATGTTCTTTTCTGTTATTAAAAGTCATGCTGTTTAAGCTATTGATTCAAATGAGACGCCAACGTTGTTAAATATACGACGTTCCATTTAGCAAGACCTTATTCCAAAACAATTACACAATTAGTCATATACCAACATGACCATTTCGTCCAATTATTGATACAACACTCATTATCCGCCCTGGAAGTTGCCATACAATGAGCACAGTAATACCATAGGAACCGTAATACTGCTCTGTGGAAGCGTATATAGGCGAAGGCTCACCAAGGCAACTAGCAACCGCAACGCAACCGCAGTTTCAGAGTAATGTCGCCGATTTCAAGCATGCAACTGGTTTCCAGATTAGCTGGCGCACACTGATGAAACTTGAGTTGGATTATATATTTATTTATTTATTCTATTGTAAAATTCCGTCGATCCACTCTAGGTTACAAATACGCCTGACGGATATAGAACCAGTCACAGACAAGTAACTAAAATACACATGCTATGAAAGTAAGTATAGGTCAGATCAGACATTAAACCAAACTATGTAAGTTTTGAGGTTTTCACGGCGATGACAATGAAGAAAGTTGTCTTCTGGGTTCCTCCGAAACGTCGGCCAAAACGAAGAATACACGGTGCCTAAACCCAGAAGACAACTTTCTTCATTAAACAAAACTGTTTATTTCCTACTTTAACCTTAAACATAACATCATAAATTTAATATTGTAAAAAATTATAATATCAAAAGGTAAATGATGACATATTTATGCCAAAATAAAGCACCTATGAGACATAAAACATTAAAATTTCACATTAAAATTAGTAATTACTATCAAAAAATCCTTCAGTGAATAAAAAGAATTCAATAGAAGGTAGTTTTTTAGAGTATTTTTAAATTGATCATTATTATCAGACAATTGTTTTATGCAAGGAGGTAAGTGGTTAAATGCCTTTATACCTATATAATAAACACCATTTTTATAGACAGACAACCTTGGTTGTGAAGGGTAAAAAATATTTTTACCTCTGGTGTTGATATCATATAACTCTGAATTTGTTTTAAATAAGGAGATATTATCAATTACAAAAATTAGTAATGAAAATATATACTGAGAATAAAACGGTAATATATCTAGTTACTCAAACAACTCAAATTAGGTAACAATTTCCCGCCCAAGTAGTTTCCAACGCCTCTGGTAGATGGGGGAAATATCAGGTACCGACGGCCGACCTCGTTGGCTGAATGGGGCTGATAGCACGCACCAGTACCTGTAAGGTAAGGGGACAGTAGAAATTAAAGGGGGACGCACAATGGACCAATAACTGGTCTAAGTGCATGGGGAAACCCACCCCTCTAATAATAATAATAATAATAATAATATTTAAACAACTCCCTACAGGAATCCCTATTTCTGGAATTTGTAATCATTCTTATGGTCTTTTTTTTTT